AAATAAGCTACGCTCACGGGTATTCCCTCTGGGCTTCAATCACCACGCCTGGAGGTAAAGTATTCGTCCATGTGTATTTTTCCGCCCAAAGACCTCACGGTTTGCCCAAAAATTATAATCGCTAGGCGAACTGCTGGCTTGTGTCTTCCTACTTTCTCCTTCGCGGGGTTTGCGTTCCATGCGCCTGCAAATCTGGTGCGTCTCCTCTGCCTAAACTCCTGTTTGGACCGCAGTCTGTTCCGACGGCAGCAGCACAGGCTTTACACAGCGCAATCAGCTGTTCACGCGTGTAAACAATGCCTCCACTACTACCGGCAAAGTTCTCTGTTACAAAAAGTAAAAAAAGTAACAGAAGAACGCGGAGAAAAGTAACAAAACTTAGTGCAGCCATTGTCTCAACGTTTATGCACGGATTGTGCATTCGAAATTCGAAAATTAATTCGAAAAACAAACGAGAAGACTGAAAACAACAAATAAACAAATATAAAAAACACGACGGGAGCTGCGGCTACAAGCTGCCGCCTGAGGCAGCGCCACAGTAATAATGCGCTACAGTAATAATGGGGTAACCAGGGAGGAGACTACATCATGCATAGTTGGCTGGAATGAGTAGTCGCACCTAAACTCCTTTTTTACTTGACCACTGAGATATGCTAATGTATGACTGTCACATAAAAATACCGCTTATCACCGCAGTCGCCCAGGTAGCCCACTAGTACAGCTCGCGCTGTGTCTCTGAGCACTGGCTGTCTAATGCTCTGTACTTGAGTTATTGCACTGTATTCCCTGATCACAGGCTAACATTTTGATTGCAGCATTGTCTACACCTGAGTGCTCTATCCACCTAGAGAAATGGACCTGGGTCATATGACATCCCAGATAGAGGCCGTTTCAGGGTCTCTGGGGAATGATGGAACTGACAGGCTCCATTATGGAACAAAGACAAATATAAGATGTATGCTATTGACAATAGACTGTATACTGTTTTAAGGAAAAGGTCAAAGTCCAGATGCTTTATACATCCAATGGAAATATGGTTATTGTACCCTTATTTCTTATTTCTGCCTGTGAAAGTGTGATTTCTTAAATATAAATAATTTATTTCATAGTTTTGGCCTCCCTTATCAGATGTTTAGATTTCAAATGAGGCACACAAATGTTTAAAGTGATCCATCTAAAATATATTTTTGGGAAATAATTTGAAAATTTAGATTATTTCTAGAAAGACCTGGGCTGGACCACTGGGCATGTGGCTTTATCTCAGATCAGTTCACACCTTTTGCGCCTGAATGCTTTCAAGAGGGGCCATGTTTACTTTAGTTTGAAAGATGATAAAGTTTATGAACATTACTTTTACCTTATCTGTCATTATTTTATTGTTTTTCACACAGGTTCCTTTGTATGACTCTACCATGGACCACATCATCTGCTGCCTGCTGGTCCTGGGAGCCACAGTGATGATCACCCATGCATGCCCCAAGTACTGTGTATGCCAGAATTTGTCCGAGTCCCTGGGGACCTTGTGTCCCTCCAAAGGCCTTCTTTTTGTGCCTCCGGACATTGATCGCAGCACGGTGGAGCTCCGTCTAGGAGGCAATTACATCCTACGCGTTACGCAGCAGGATTTTGCCAATATGACCGACCTGGTGGACTTGACCCTCTCCAGGAACACCATCAGCTACATTCAGCCCTTTTCCTTTGGGGACTTGGAAACACTTCGCTCACTTCATCTGGACAACAACCGCTTGATTGAGCTGGGCCCTGATGACTTGCGAGGCTTGGTCAACCTGCAGCACCTCATTGTTAACAACAACCAACTGGGACGCATCCATGACAAGGCCTTTGAAGACCTGGCACCTGCCTTGGAAGATCTAGATCTCTCTTACAACAACCTGATGTCTCTGCCCTGGGACTCAGTCCGCCAAATGATTAACCTGCACCAGCTAAGTCTGGACCACAATCTGTTGGACTTTATTCCAGAGGGCACCTTCACTGACCTGGAAAGGCTGGCGAGATTGGACCTGACCTCAAATCGCTTGCAGAAGCTACCCCCAGACCCCATCTTTGCCCGCGCCCAGGACTCCATGATCCTGACTACACCCTATGCTCCTCAGCTGTCCCTAAGCCTAGGCGGAAACCCACTGCACTGCAACTGTGAGATGCTGTGGTTGCGGAGGCTTGAGAGAGATGATGACCTAGAGACTTGTGCCTCCCCTCCTGGCCTGAAGGGTCGTTACTTTTGGAATGTGAAGGAGGAGGAGTTTGTGTGTCAGCCACCGCTCATTACCCAGCACACCCACAGAATGCTGGTCTTGGAGGGCCAGACAGCCAGCCTAAGGTGCGAAGCAACTGGAGACCCTTCTCCTACCATCCACTGGATCTCCCCTGATGATCGGCTGATTGGCAACTCCTCCCGAACCGCTGTCTATGGCAACGGAACCCTCAGCATAACCATCACCACCTCCAAGGACTACGGCACCTTCACCTGTATTGCTGCAAACGTGGCCGGGGAGTCCACCGCCTCCGTGGAGGTGTCCATTGTCCAGCTACCCCACCTCAGCAACGGCACTGGGCAGCCAGCACCGCCGAAGTCCCGCCTCTCTGATATCACAGGGACCACCAGGATAAGCAAAGGGGCTCCGAAGAGCCAACCAGAGAGGATTGTGTCTGTCTCTGAGGTGACAGCTGTTTCAGCGCTAGTCAAGTGGACAGTGAGCAAGTCAGCCCCCAAGGTGAAAATGTACCAGCTCCAGTACAACTGCTCTGATGATGAAGTTCTCATCTACAGGTAAACACCTACATATTTTTTGAGGAATCTTGAAGCACAGAATTCTGTCAAAAAATTACAGTTGGTAATTGGTTGATAGATGATTGGGTTTATTAAAGGGATCACTTGTAGTGATAAATTCTCAAACAATAAAGATTATTAGAGCTGACAGACCCAGAAAATTGGTAGAAACGTGCAAAAAATGACAAGCTGTCTCCATGACAAGTGACCAAAGAATTCTGTTTATTCAGCTTTAATTAGTTCTGTTTCTGTCTAATTTGAAAGCACAGCACCCTTGTGCAATTTGGAAATTACAGTTGTCATTATGGCAGTGTCAATACCTTTTCAATGATTTTGCAGCACTAAGTACATCTTGAGGAGAAAAAAATTCATGGCATCTGAATGAGACTCTCAGCACAAAACTAAATATACAGAATGTTGTTTTGGAGAAGCATCTGATCTTGAACAAACACAGATGCATTTTTCCTCAACAGTGAATGATGTGTATTTACAGGGTGCAGTGTTTTCACTCAGCTAGACTTCCCAGTGGAATCAGTGTATGGAAGAGTTTCCTGTAGTATTTTACATTGATGTTGGCACATCCAAGGGATCCATCCATCATCCAGTGTCTGTATTGTCCATCAATTTGTTTAACAGCAGCAAAAACAACTCTTTCCCCTTCTTCATCACATTTTTATCTGATGTCTCCCTCACTAAGTACAGTGCTGTGCTGTGTTGGGCTTGGCTGGATTATGCTCAACAGTCCAGAACCAGGGGAATTTCTGTGCACAGGAGGCGGGGGTTCCTGTCAATCCAGCAGCATTTGATGGGGATGAAACTGTATTAGATAAAGCTTGAATTCTACCACCACAGCTTCTAAAATGAAACCAGACAGAAAAAAATCCAATTACTTAATGTCATTTAAATCGGTTACTGTTCTAAAAAAAGCAAGATATTTAAGTCTGTAGCCTTAGGTATGTGGCCACCCCTTTGTTGCAATATTTCTCTTCATTATGAAGCATATTTTCCCTCTTGTAACACCCTAATAGTAATGTAGGAAGAATGTTTTTCAGTAATTATACAGTACAACTCTAGCAAATTGTAATGTAATGTAATTAATTATATTCAGCATTAACATTGTTTTGCTCTTGCATTAAACATTTTATTTTGAAAATCTGAATATAAATATGTAGAAAGATTATTTCTTATATAGAATTCATTTTATGCAAATATTTAAATAGCATATTCACCAAGCTGCACAGTACTTATAGAAATGACAGCTGTTGTGGACTCAATTCCTAAGGGCCTCATTTGTAAACACTCCATACATGCGCTACTTTTAATACAGAACTAGATGTATAAAAGCCTAACTGAAATGAAAATGTGAGTATCTTTACGTTTTGAATTGTGAAAAAAGGCAAAACAGTGACATAAATTTAAACATCCTCTAATGGCCAACAGAAACGGAGTGGCAGATGATGTTTAATTTTTTTTTAAATATATTTTTTATATGTGCTAAAACTTCTAATATATCCTGACAGTAATACATGAGACAGATAATCTGTGAAAAAATATGGTTCCTCTGGTTCATTCTAGCACTCCCACCAGGTCTGGATGAAAGCAACCAATTAGAGCCATCTTTGGGTTGTGGACAAAACAAGACATTATATTACCTTGGGCTTTGGGAAATCAATTAATGAGAATAATCACGGAAATGATCGGCAGATTAATTGATCATGAAAATAATCATTAGTTGCAGCCCTAATGATAAAGTGCCAAAACTTGATTTCTCAGAAATGTAGCTGAAATAATTGATGGTGGTCAGAACATAAACATAAATGATGGTTACATTATCCAGGAGACCCCTGTACTCCTGTGTTGAGTAAAATTGTGGAGAAATATACAAAATTTAAATTAAAAAAAATGCAGAAAGAGGAAAAACACTTATGGAACCAATGATTCTCTGATGATTTGGATTCTAAACATAGATGTTGCTAAACATGATCAGTAGAACAGTGAAATAAGAGCTTTTGTGTAGGTGATGCAGCTAATTGGGAGCTGTAGAAGTAAAATCAGGAACGTCTGACTGAACTTTGCTGAGCCCCACTGATGATGTCTTGAATGAATATGAGACAGATAAGAGCTTAACCAACAAGTCCTTAATGCCAACCCTGGAACTTATCTGATCAATTAGGATGTTAGCAAAAGCTGCACCAAATCTAGAGGGATTAAAACAGCTTTCATGGCGGCATGAGAATATGCCTTTTTAAGGACAGTGTGTGCTGTGCTTGGTTCTGAAAGCAGCCTGAAATGTTCCGCACATTGATTCATTAAAGCCGAGCTAAATTCAGTAACGTTGAGCAGAGACTGTCAGTAAAAGTTTAGATAAGAATGGAAGTTTGGAAATACGGCCTGTAGCTGCCAGGAATCAAGGGATCCAGACAACTTAATTATTTCAGCCGTGCCCGCTGTTGTGCACAAGAGGTAAGAGTTGTCAGCTGTTTCCTCGTCAAACACTGGAGCTGGAGGACAATGTTATCACTGCTCCGGTTTCCATGATTGGCACATTGTTACTTGAGCTAAGGTTTTATGTGATCCTTTATGTAGGATGGCTGTATGGGAAGGCCTGAGGGCCCAGAAAACTTATTCAAAACAGAATAGACTTTATAAAAATGTGCAGTTGTCAGGGTGAAAAGAAGGTTGTTGTTTTTTTTTATTCCTGAAAAGTGTAGCTAATTTTATCAGATGTTCCAAAGTTTGTGACTACGGTATAATCAGAGCTGGGAAGAGTAGTCACAAATGTACTCAAGTAAAACTACTGTTACTTTACAATAACAAGTATTGAAGTAGTTGTTAATGCAGTTATCACAATAACAACTTGCATAAGAGAATAAACATATCTACTGGAGAAACTAGGTGAATTAGGTGATTTTTATATGTTAGTTTCATTTTTGTTTAAATTATCATACTTGGTTAAAGATAAAGAATTGAACACACAACTGTATATATGGTAACTTTGATAAGTAATTAGTTAAATGTGTAAGACTATATTCCCAATATTATGCTTGATCACATAATTCCTAAATCAGTGGACCCCCACTTGGGGTCACCAAAGCTTCATGGTGTTTACGAGGCCTTCTTGAATTTAAGGGGTGTAAGAAAACATAAAGAATATACGTGCATATGCAGACTTCCTGCACTGGAAGTTTTTGTTATTGATTTCACTATTTGGTTTCATTGTACAGTTTTTAATATAACGTGGAGTAAAAAATGTCAGTGATTAGGGGTCATCAGTTTACTGAATTATAGAAAAAGGGTTTCCTTAAGGAAAAGGTTGGGAACCACTGTCCTGAATAGCAATATTAAATGCTGTACTTTTTTTGCAAAAAACTAAAAGTATAAATATTAAGCAATTTGGGGTTCAGTATCTTGCTCAAGGATACTTCAACATGCAGCGGGAGGATCGATCCACCAACCTTCTGATTAGTGGATGACACGCACTACCTCCTAGCTGAGCCACAGCCGCCAGGTATCGATGAAACGTACCTCTGGGGCTATATAATACGTACATTTTCACCATCACTGAATTTTGTTTTGCGTTTTCGAGCATGTTGCATCCTCCAAAAAATGTATTATTTGACAGAAAAATAATAATTCCTTGCATTTCGACAGGGCTTTGCAGCAGTCGCTGCTCAGGCTCTAATTAATCTACAGTGGACAGTGAACATTTCCTGTCATGTTAATTGCTGTGTGCTCATATGTACACCATGATTCTCTTTAATGAGAGCTCATTTCCAGACACACGAAGGCTCCCTGCTGTGCCGGCTGCAAGTTTACATGAGCGACGGTGTTATCAGAGTTACATCAAGCGGAGATGGTGAAACAATCCACAGGCCTAAGGTGCCACCATTTTCAGCACCTCCCTCTAAGGCATTCATCCATTACAGTGAGATAGAGGGAATGTTTTTATTGCAACCAGGACATATTCAAGGGTATAGACACAGACACAGAAAAATGTCACAGCCCATTTAATCCCCTACAATACAGCTGCAGAGTCTGAGAGTGACGAGCAGCCAGTGAGAGGCCATTAGGGATTTTGATTATATAAGCATAATCAAATTTCCCAGCATCACACCAGTGTTTAGACTGAGTCAATGGGGCAAGAGACCATTTGGCATGACCTTGTCCAGAGAGAAAAGCATTAAGAAATCAATAGAGGTAATGAATAATGTTTCCGCAATTCTTTGCAGCTAGAAAAAAAAGAAGCCATGAAATAGTTTAATGGTTGCGGACAGGAGAGATGCAGCCTGGAGTAATGATTTATTTGTTTTGTCAGCTCTTTCTTTGAACTGAGAACATATGTAGAATATTAAAACTGTAACTGACAAATCTCTCGCGAAGCTTAAAAAAGTCTAAGCCAAGAGCCCGTCTCTTTCTCCATCTCCTCTTTTCTCTCTCCCCCGCTTTCACTCTGATTAATGCTATGGCCTCACGCCATCGTCGGGAGCTAAGCAGGCCACTCGACAAATTGCCTTTTGCAGCCTGAAGGGGCAGGAAAAAACTTTTATCTCCCCGTGATAAGCATGGGCATAGGTTTCTCTGGACTTGGGCTTTATTCCTATGAATTAAATGAATTAGCCAGTCTACGTAGACAACCTGAAATCAATTAGACCCAGACACAGGAGCAAGCATTGCACAGCGAAAGCATCACCAGGCTAAAGAATTCCAGGCAGCCAATTATAATAGTGTAATGAACTGTAGCACAAGTTGTTGGAGAAGTAGAACTTTTTTATTGGGAAAACAGCTTCTTTTGTTTGAGCTGTGGTGACTAATTGGGATGAGGCAAACACTGAGGTTGTGATGTTTTTGGTTCCAAACTATCCAAATCTATGATCTTTGTTGCGTGTCAGATAAATTTCCTTTTGGTGATGAATGTGAGATAAATTGGACAGTCACGATGGGCGAATAGACATAGGGTCCAAACCTGTAGCTCATACTTGTGTCATATGAAGGATGTTAAGTGACTAATGTGTACCTGCTACACCTTAAAGGGATAGTTTGGGTATTCCGAAGGGGGTTGTATAAGGTACAGAATCAGAATTAGAATCAAAAATACTTTATTGAGGAGGAAATTTGTCACATAGCCATATAAAAACACCTAAAAGACCTCAATATCAGTCAAGTCAATATCAGTTTAATGGCCAAAATCCACCAGACCCAGCCATGACATGTTTGGGCTGCACTGTGGCTGCCAGAACTAGTCACGCCAGATCTAGACAATTCTTGTGGCACGGCTGGTCTATCTGCATCAAGCAGCAAAGAGTACATCGCATTGGCAGGAAGGCAGACACAGACGCTGCAGAATCCAGTCAATATTCTAAATAAAACACCCAGTGCATACCCATATAATACAACATTTTTCACCACCACTGACACGTGTGCTGCATTTCATGAGTTTTGGGCAGAAAAATATGTTACAATAGTGCCTAAATAAAGAACCGTTAATAAAGGGCCAGATTCCAACTAACTGAACACCGCTGCTGTCTGTATATTTGACAACCTGGGAATGAGAACATGCTGTGATGTAGGAGTAACTACGGCAACAGTGGCTGCGAGAAATGCAAAAATATTGATTCTTTCCTGTTTGAGGTTTAATGGCTGTGGTGTATTTTTCATCATGTGATTGTAGGCAAATTCCAAGCTGGAACTTAGCTCTTTTCTTTGTGAAGCAATACAAGAAGTTTTTCTTTAGTGCTGCACAGGACACTAACCATGATGTATCTGTCTGTATGTCCTCTGTGCCCCTGTTTGAATCTTCTTTTGGAATATTTGGTGGATGTGCTTCTGCCAGTGTTGGATGTCATGTATTGTTGATGGAAGTAGTGATCAACAAAGGGTTTCAATAAAGACCACATATTTTTTTTTTTTCACTCCTGGGCCTCTAAGTGGGTTAATTCGGCCCTGCCCTAGTTTTTATTATAAGCCCATATAATACTGACATAGCATCAGTTAGTTAAAGCTGCAGTAGGGAATTTTTATTACAATATTTTTCTTTATATATATATATCTGTGGAAAAAACTGGTTCCTCTGCCTCGTCCTAGTGCTCCAAATGGTATTTGCACAAATCTACCAGGCCTGAATGAAAACA